TCGGTCCTCCATATCTGCCACCTTGGGGCTCAGCTTGTCAATGTTCAGCCTCATAGCGTTGACCTGGTCTCTGTCATGTCTAGCTGCTGATTGCGTAGAATCGCATCTTGACTGAAGTCGATGAATGGATTTCTCCAGCTGTTCAATCTGGCCAGTGGCTGTCGTTATAGTGTCAGTGGTATTCTTCAGTTCAAGTCTAAGATCCAATATTTGCGGGAGCAACACATCATCTAAAGCAGCTTTTACCGCGGCAGTGACGATTTCATTTAGCTCTGCTCTCTGTTCAGCTAAGGCCTGCTTCACTCCTACTAAGATGGCGCTGTCCAGGTCTGCTTTGGAAATGCTAGACGATGATTCCTTGAATTTCTTCTTGACAGGAGAGAGATCGGTTTCTTTAGCTGCACCAGTGCTATGTGATACCAACATTTTAGAGGTTTTGACGTAATTAAACATAGTTTGCTTTCTAATAAACTGAAAGTAACGAGTTGTAAGTGGAGCGCACACAATTCACGTCTGCACCGCCATGAATCGGTCACGTGCCTCTGTAATCTTCCATTTTCAAAACAGGGTGGCTATTGGCTATTTTTCGCTTTATTTGGACAGGAGCCGACGCTACAATACGTTTAGAGTGCCCGCTACTGGATGAGATGGCAAACAATAAAATAAAATACAAATGGTCTAATCATAGACTGTAAAAAATGCGCTAAACATGGCACTTTAAAAACCGGTTAGTTTATTTATAGTTCGGTTACGGATATTTCACGTCATGTTTGAATGCATATTCGAATATCGAATAAAAAGTGACAGCCCTACAGTGTATATCGTTAGTGAACGTGTATATATCTAAGCTAACACTGGTCTCTCACCAAGACACCTGCCCTGTTCTCCACTGGTTCTCCTCACACCACAACTCAATGTGTCTCTGACCGTTCTGTCTAACATTAATCCTGGCCTGTCCCTGCGGCTCATAACTGTACGGCTGTGGTCCATCATACGACGAGTGAGTATGAACAATTTCCTCAGCGTCCGAAATGTCATTGCGATCCATTGTTTTCCTGTTGTCTGAATCGACCGCTCTCCCGCCGTTACGTCACGCCCATTTCGGGTGCAGAAGTAACATTTTCTCACTAAAACGACTCCAGAAGGAAGCGCCTCTGTAGCGTATTTATAAGTATATTTGAAAGAAAATCGGGTTCCCACATTATTTTTCTATACATTGACTCGTTGGGTCCTCTAACCTGCAATATGCCCTTTAAAGCATGTTGAGGGCCTTTCTGGACCCACGGTCTGTGTGGATAACTAGCCGGAATCTGGCCATTTATAGATTTGTTATACAACGTATTTATGATATGTATGAGGTAATGTACGGTTCTATTGGTTAGATCTGTATTACTCCCCTTAAAACTTTCACTATATATTCCATAACCCAAGAATCCTGGGCTGAGCTCGTCTCCCCAGCGCAAGTCGTTGTTCAGTCGACTGCTAATTGTTACAGTTTGACTCTTTGTTTTCCCCTTTTTCTTAGTGTTTTGGTTTAGTCCTATTCAGTTTTACCCGCTCCTCGTTTGTCCTCAGTTTATTCACCTGTGTTTAGTTAATTATCTTCATCCATGTCACCTGTCTCCTATTCATTATTGTCATCAGTCTCTGTATTTAGTTTCCCTCAGTTCATTCAGTCTTGGTCCGTTTACTGTGTTTAATGTTATACTGTGTTCTCCTGAGTTTGGAATTAAATCCTGTTTATTTCTATTCTTCGACTCTTTGTGCTTCCTACCACCGTGTACCGTAACACTAATAAAGACCGGAATGAGGCACTTGTTTTTGTTGCAAGTTTTCATTTCTAACAGCTACAGAATTAACAATGTATCATCACGATTTGGTTCATAACTCTAAAAAACAGGGAAACTTACACATTTTTTTTTAAGAAATAAAAGCTATACAATTATCTCGATTGGTTTTTGCAATTGTTTTTAATGACACAAGGCATGTATTATAGGCAGTGTTGTGTTGCTTCCCTGAAACTGTCATTGCCTGCGCGAGAGATCCAACGCGCAATGTCGCAATAATAACATTTTGTAAGCTATTACTCTATTTATTATTAAATTATTACTAATTTATTTTCTAATCACAGTGAATGCCAAAACGGTCATCTCTTTAGACAAATAAAACTGTTCTGACACATATAACTCTTGAAATTTAATGGGGAGAAGTTATATAGTTGAGCAATGTTATTATAGTTGTGTTTTGTTCTTTTATTTAAGTCATTTTAGTTTTAGTCTTAATAATTAACAGCTTATTTCAGCTACTTATTAACAGACACTGTAATAAATAAAAAAGGTTAATTTAAATTATATGTTTATTATTTACATAATAAATACAACATGCTCACATCACTACAGAGATATACTGTATGTATTTAATCATTAAAGGGACAAAAATATTTAGATAAATCAGATTTTAACGCGGATATGTGCATTTTTCATCCGTTGGTTATCACTGTCAGTCTTAAATCTTGTGAGTGATAATTTAGCAGATTCAAGAAAGAAATGAGAAATAAAAATCATAAATGGATTGTAGAGAAAGACAAAAACGTGTATTGTTGAAGCTGGCTACACAATGAAAGTCTTATTTACATCATGTGTCCATATTTTGTTGCTTGAGAAAACCTAAATGATAATGCGCTCTAATAATCTGCACAAAATAAGATTGTATCAAAGGTTTTGGTCGACTACCATCTGTACAATAACAACATTTATTCACAGTGGTGAATATGTATAAATGACTGTATTTAAATTAATTAACATTACGTAACATATTATAAATATGATCATTCCTATGCTTAAAATGCATTGTGTTATGTAGTGTCTAATCTTTTAGATAAAAATAGATAAAACGGTTAAAATAGTGTCTTTATATCACACATCAGCCTGTCGTTGTCTGACTTGTGTGTGTAAACGCAGCACTTTCGATAGTTTGGTGACCTGTGTGTACTCATCCTTGACACCAAGGCCTAGTATCAAGACGAATCCTGCAAAAGCACTGAATAAATAAAGATACTAACAAAACATTAACGAATACACAAATCCACACATTGCTGCATAAATAAATACGTATACGTGTGTGAGATGAGAGAAACGAATTACTAAATGGCTGGAAAAATGAAAATCTGAATTTTTTTTTTCTCCTTATCCGCATTGAAAACATTGTCTGGTCGTTGTGAAAGCACTGCAATTGCACATTAACATAACATTAGTATTGATGTTATTGCAGTCAGGCCTAGCAGAGATCCCGGACACAAGCAAACACTGCTTAACGAGAGTCTACCTCCTGTGATGTTTCTGAATCACTCATTACAGCAATCAGACAATGACAGAGATTAACGATGATTGATTGACAGCTCCTCCTCATTTGCATGTTGCATGAGTTATGCATGTGCTTTTCTATATTTGGATTTTCCACAATCATTCATGTTATATAATACTTTTTGTAAATGGCTCTACACATTTATGCATTTCTATATGTATTTAGGCAAGGATATGTATTCATTTAGCCTACTTAAGCTATTTATTTGTGTAAAAAACATTTTTTACGTGAGCCCAACACCACTTACTTTCACTTTCGCTTTAAATTATTTAGTTTTGGCTTGTTTAGTTATTTTTACATTCTTGTCCTGTTCTGAATATCATTAAATGTAAAGGATTTGTTGTGGAGTGGGGGCACAAAAATAGCCTATAGCTATGTATGTTTGTAGTGTTTACAATTGTAGGTCTACATTATGACATTTCACTTTATTTACCGGTATTATTTTTAAAAGCAATAAAATCAAATGCCACTTAATACGTGACTTGGCTATCATCAAAAGCGGTGCTGAGCTGAATTTGTGCCATCTATGCACAACAGTGTTATCTATCTATCTATCTATCTATCTATCTATCTATCTATCTATCTATCTATCTATCTATCTATCTATCTATCTATCTATCTATCTATCTATCTATATGTCTGTCTCTGTCTGTCTGTCTATCTATCTATCTATATGTCTATCTATATGTCTGTCTCTATCTATCTATCTATCTATCTATCTATCTATCTATCTATCTATCTATGTCTGTCTGTCTGTCTGTCTGTCTGTCTGTCTGTCTGTCTATCTATCTATCTATCTATCTATCTATCTATCTATCTATCTATCTATCTATCTATCTATCTATCTATCTATCTATCAAACTCAAAACCTTAAAACTTATTCAAGCTTTCTAGCAAGGCTTTTTCAAGCAAATTTAAAGTTTGTCTACAAAACTTTTTTTAATCTAGTTTGTAATAATCTATTCATTATTGTCATCAGTCTCTGTATTTAGTTTCCCTCAGTTCATTCAGTCTTGGTCCGTTCTCGTTAATGTTATACTGTGCCCACAGACGCATTCACATTTTACAGCGCTGTTTGACTTATCAACGACATTTGTTTACCAGTCCAGGACATATAATCGTTCAAATCGTTCACGTCCAGTGATTAATTCCTGATACGCATATATAAAAGAACTAAAGTAATCTCTACAAAATAATTATTCAAAAAAACCTTCATCGAAAACCTCTATCAAGCAACTATGAGAGGTCCGTTTAATCCAGCGCCGAGAAAAGTAACGGGTATCACGTGACAGTACCGTACATGTGTGTGTCATCAAAATAATGCACACAGCTAAATAATTACGTTAACTAATTTGAATAGTCACTGAATGAAATATAAACAGCATAGAGTTAAATGTATAATAAAGTTTAAAAAAATATATTATTTATATCCGTATAAGCCCCGCCTACTCCTCATTGCGTCACTCGCGCTCCTGCTGTCTCTCTGTTTTCTCAGGTTTCAGCGGAACTGCTGCGTGGCGATTCCCACAACTCCCAGCATCTGATGGGGAAAACACACGGCGCGATTTAACAGAGGATGACATCTGCTCTCTAGACTCACATCTACACACTTTCAGGAGCGCCTTTAGCACCTTCAAACATGCAGATCAGCGACATAAAACATCGACAGAAGAGTTCAAACAAGCAGCAGAACGGGGAGAAACGGAGAAGTGAGGATGAGACGAAGAAAGAGTCCGTCATCAGAGAGAGTTTCAGTCCTGATGAGAAGAAGAAAGACAGTTTAAGTCCTGATGAGAAGAAGAAAGAGTCCGTCATCATCAGAGAGAGTTTCAGTGCTGACGTGAAGTTCTCCGTCAGTCTGATGTGTCTCGCGCTCTCCGTCATCGTCGCGTGGTCAGTTCACTTCTGTCTCTAACATTAATAAAAATACATCAGTTTTCCTCTGTCTATAAGTGTGCTTTCATCTGTCCTCCGCAGGCTGCATCTCCAGCAGAGCGCAACGCTAGCAGAAATGAGGGAAAAGTACGAGTATTTGCAGGAGAAGAGCCGCAGGGTGGAGGATCTCGACGAGAAACTGACTGAAGTCTCACAGCAGGTCTGTGTAATCCAGTAAATACACTCTAAATACTAATCTCATAGTTGAGTTTGTGCTTGTTTCATATATTCTTCAAAAACCTTTACACTGTTTACACTAAACAAACTCATTTGGGTTATACTTTACATTAAGGTTTTTTTTTGTTAACATTAGTTAATCTGAACTAACAATAAACAATACAGCCATATGGAAGCTTGTTTACGCCACAGAATAAAACATTAAAAAAGGTAATTTCGATTTTTTTTTCCCTCAGACTTGCGTGATATAAACTTGAAATTCCGAGTAAAAAAAGTTGCAATTTCAAGAGAGAAAAAATCTGAAATGTGAGGGGGAAAAAGTCAGAATTGTGAGAAAAAAAGCCAGAATTTCAAAAGACAAAAAAGTAAAAATTGTGTGGGGAAAAAAAACCTAAAATGTGAGGGAAAAAAAGTCAGAATTGTGTAATATAAATATAAGTGAACTCCTGTAAAGCTAAAGTGAAATGTAAAGGAGTTACTGTTCTAGTGTTTGCAGTGCGTATGCTGTCTCCCAGACTGTAGCCGCCTTTCCATTACCCTTCAAATTGCGCAAATTGAAATTGCGAATTGAAAATACGCCCACTGGAAACACGTCAATTTCGCAAAAACTCCTATATATCGCAAAAAAGTTTTTTACGTCCGTGTGAGATGGTTTATAAATAAACATTTTGCTGATGAGGAGTGATTGGACAGAAGACGAGACGGAGTTCTTTATCAAACTCATAAAACACAAAAGAATTACAGGAATACTGGCTTCTAAACCTCAAAGAAATGCTCAGGCATTTCACAATAGTTTTTTTTTCAGAAATTTAGAAAATATCGTAAAAGTTTTGGTCAAATCTGTAATGGAAACGCAGCTTGTGTTGCAGTATTAGCGCTAGCTCAGCGCTGACGCGTGTGTGTGTGTGTGTGTTGTGACGCAGCTCCAGGCCTCCGCAGACGCCGCTACACTCCTGTCGAAGCTGCGCCTCTCGCTCGGCTCCGTCCTCAACACGTCAGCGGCGCTGCGGGAGCATCAGGACTCGTCCTCCCGCCAGCTCCACACACACACACAGCAGAGCGCCGAGCTCCGCGCGCTACACACCCACTCCCGCGGCGCGCACACACAGGTGGCGGCGCAGGTGAACGCGCTGGAGGAGCGTCTGCGGGGGCTGGGGGAGCGTCTGCAGGAGGTGCAGGACGGCGTGCGCGGGAACACGCGGGCGCTGGAGCGCGGCGAGGAGGAGGAGCTGCAGCGGGTGCGCGAGCTAGCGGAGCAGAGTGACTCCAGCGTGTCCCGGCTGCAGGAGCGACTCGAGCGGCTAGCGGCGCAGGCCCGCGGGCTCCAGGAGCGGCTGAGGGAGGAGGCCGGTCGGGCTCAGCAGGGCGAGGAGGAGGCGCTGGAGGAGGCCGTGCGCTCCATGCTACGTGTCCGAGCGCTCCTCAGCGCCACCCGCAGGACAGTCCAGGAGCTGGAGGAGCAGGTGCAGAGCCTGGAGAAGCGCAGGACGAGGAGACGCCACCCCAGACCACAGGCTAACACCGACACTGGCGAGAGCTGAGCCCAGGAGCCGGACCCGCACATACGCTACTTCTACTTCCCTCATGGATTGTGGCGGGGTCAATGTGACCCGGTTTGATCTTTGAGCTGTCGGAAATATCAGTTAACCTGTGTTTTTTTTCTTGGAATTGTGTGACTTTTTCTCATTTAGGGTCATGAACAAACATGCAATGTTTCAACACTCTGATGTGTTTTGACTAGGGCTGGGATTTGAAAATCTCAACACTTGAGGTAAGGAATCGGATACTTGTTATACAATGAAAATTTCCATTCCTCTTATCGATTCCTGTGTGCGCATTTCAATATGACTTTAGACAATTCAAGCGTGAGACGCCTCAGTTTTCTGCACCGCAGGCGTGTGTGTGTGTATGAGTATACTGGATCCGTGCAGCTCTTAAAGTGACAGCAGGCTAATATTCCTGCCGTCTCTATGCTAACACTAATCAAACAACAGATAGAGAGAAAATTCACTCGTTCTTGACTGCACTTTATAAATTAAATATACATTACAAATATAGCTACAAAAGTTTCTCAGTGTTATTTTACATGTGATTACAGTTTCTGTACCTCAATACCTGAAAATCTTAAAACACTGTTTATTTGATATTTCAATTTATAATTCTTTTATTACATGGCTTGGTTGAATTCTAATGTAGAATGCGGTCTGTTATTTCTTGGTAACAGACTGTTGCTAAGTATAACACACCGTTGCCATGAAAAACAGAGCGTTGCTATGGACACAGTTCTGTTCACTCTGGAGGATAAACTCCTTTAAATCAATAAACTCCTTTTTAAATCAATATTTTGTGTCAAAATTATTGATTTATCTGGTAGGTAGCCATGTAATAAGCGGGATACTGGTCCTGATCAGCCTGTCGGGGTTGTACTATTCGCTATAACAACCGCCTCGCTTTACATTATCCCTTACTTATTTGTTCTTTTTTAATTACTGAGTGTTTTGCTTGTCTTTAAAAATGCTTGAAATTGATATTAGTTAGGCTAGTTGTTTTTCTATGGTGTTTTTAAACCTCAGGCAAACGCTCCTTGTATAAGTGTTCTTTAGCCTGTTAATCTTTGTTCATGATATTCCGCTACAATTAAATGTTTTGCAATAAGACTAAATGTGAATGATAACTGTTTTTTGTTGTTGTTTTTTACCTTATTGGAATCGAAATCGATAAGCAGAATCGAAATCGTTAAGATTAAAACGATACCCAACCCTAGCTTTGACATACACACGCTAAATAACTGTTATGTTCGTGGGTCCATTTGACCTGCATATTTTAATGTTCGACTAAGGCAAATGTACAGACCCAAAATAATAACATTTCTTGGTTATATTTTGTAATTTTAGTTTTTTTACTACCCTATTAAGCTTAAAAAAGGAGCTTTTCCCCACTTAGTTTTACTGACAAAATATTTTTCAGTATAGAAATGAGCTATCATTTCTTTTTTCAATCTGTCTGAAACACTATTAAACCACTTTGACCCATATAGACAGCTATTCAAAAGCAACAGTACGGGCCTCTGGTCTATTGGTTAGCCAACATGACATCATGACTTTGCGTAAACATACACGCCACCCTCTAGTCAAGTGGTGTGTTATCTATACGCATTTTGAGCTATCCGCGTGTATGTCCACGCCGAAACAAACCGTTATCTTTTGCGTGTATGTCTACGCCGTTAAATGTCCGAGTGATTCCGCGTGTATGTGTACGCCGTTAAATGTCCGAGCGAAATGAAGCAAAATGTAGATCTACATCTGTGGAGCAATATTTTTTTCCCTAGGATGGTAGGGGAAGACTCATAAATGGTATTAACCCCAGTGACGGGTAGGTTTAGGGACGGGGTTGGGGTAGGTCATATATTTATATATACAGTAATGTAACGTTAAGTCAACGGCGTTGATAAACACGCTGAAAAGCGATTATGCGTGTCATACATACGTAATTTCATGAGATCAGTCTGGGTTAGCCATGCCGGATTTATGTGAGCCCTGAAGTGCAGTCAGATTAAGTTATGGGTTATTCTCTCATTGTGATTGGTTGATCAGGGACCAATCAGTGACCAAGCAGCTTTGTGTGTGTGTGTGTGTGAAGTGCAAGAAGCAGAGTCTACAGAACAAAAGATGAGACAACTTGGCAAAAGTAAACATTCATTTCATTATACAGTCATATTAAATTGTTCAGTTATGATGTTTTGAGCATAAATGTAAAAAAAAAAAAAAAAAAAAAAAAAAGTTGGGAAAATAATGAATGCAAAAAAAGTCGGAATGCAGTTTTTCTTTTTTTTTTGCCAAAAACAAAACTTTAATAAAAGTGTTTAAAAACATTTTCATAAATAATATGTTCAGATATAAGTCTTGTGTAATGTTTGATAAGTGTTGGTATTAAAATGTTACTGTTTGTAAACCTGTGCTGAATCGGATCAGGGTGAGTTTGAGCCGCACCGCACAGCTGTATCCCGACAGCGGACCGTGCCTGAGCGTTACAGGAGCGCTCAGTGTCGTTAGCTTAAAGGGACAACAGGCAGGAATCCCGTTTTTGTCAAACAGTGACCCCTAGAGTCGCTGTGGAGAACTTGTATTTAACGTTAATGTCGTAAATACCACTCACGCAGAGCGTGACATGGCGTGACGTGTTACATAGTATACAATAGTGCATTGTGTTTAATTTGTCGTTTAATGAGATCTAATATACACTCACCGCCCACTTTATTAGGTACACCTGTCCAACTGCTCGTTAACACTTAATTTCTAAGCAGCCAATCACATGGCGGCAACTCAGTGCATTTAGGCATGTAGACATGGTCAAGACAATCTCCTGCAGTTCAAACCGAGCATCAGTATGGGGAAGAAAGTTGATTTGAGTGACTTTGAACGTGGCATGATTGTTGGTGCCAGAAGGGCTGGTCTGAGTATTTCAGAAACTGCTAATCTACTGGGATTTTCACGCACAACCATCTCTAGGGTTTACAGAGAATGGTCCGAAAAAGAAAAAACATCCAGTGAGCGGCAGTTCTGTGGGCGGAAATGCCTTGTTGATGCCAGAGGTCAGAGGAGAATGGCCAGACTGGTTCGAGCTGATAGAAGGGCAACAGTGACTGAAATAACCACTCGTTACAACCGAGGTATGCAGCAAAGCATTTGTGAAGCCACAACACGCACAACCTTGAGGCGGATGGGCTACAACAGCAGAAGACTCCACCGGGTACCACTCATCTCCACTACAAATAGGAAAAAGAGGCTACAATTTGCAAGAGCTCACCAAAATTGAACAGTTGAAGACTGGAAAAATGTTGCCTGGTCTGATGAGTCTCGATTTCTGTTGAGACATTCAGATGTTAGAGTCAGAATTTGGCGTAAACAGAATGAGAACATGGAACCATCATGCCTTGTTACCACTGTGCAGGCTGGTGGTGGTGGTGTAATGGTGTGGGGGATGTTTTCCTGGCACACTTTAGGCCCCTTAGTGCCAATTGGGCATCGTTTAAATGCCACGGCCTACCTGAGCATTGTTTCTGACCATGTCCATCCCTTTATGGCCACCATGTACCCATCCTCTGATGGCTACTTCCACCATGTCACAAAGCTCTAATCATTTCAAATTGGTTTCTTGAACATGACAATGAGTTCACTGTACTAAAATGGCCTCCACAGTCACCAGATCTCAACCCAATTGAGCATCTTTGGGATGTGGTGGAACGGGAGATTCGCATCATGGATGTGCAGCCGACAAATCTGCGGCAACTGTGTGATGCCATCATGTCAATATGGACCAAACTCCCTGAGGAATGCTTCCAGCACCTTGTTGAATCTATGCCACGAAGAATTGAGGCAGTTCTGAAGGCAAAAGGGGGTCCAACCCGTTACTAGCATGGGGTACCTAATAAAGTGGGCGGTGAGTGTATGTTGTTAGGGGTGAGAATTTTCACGTGATTAAATGCATAGATCCGACTATTATCCCCATGAACTTTAATGGTCCAGTGGCAGAACTTTTGCCAAGTGTGTCAGAGGTTCTGGGTTCTAATCGGTACTAGTAGTATAGTTTATTTTCCTCATCAAAACCGATTGTTTATTAGTGATTGTATATCAAGCATGGACAAGTTTTTTGTGCATTAGGTTTTGTGATTTCACCGTAACAAATATAGAGAGTCTCTCAGTCCCCGCAACGGATTGAGGCGCGCGTCCGTGTGAAGACTATGCGCGTCACAACAGAACACTGTATCCACGCCACTGATCGCAGCGGCCACAGTCTATGAGCGGCAAGCACTTTGGTCACTTGATTTAAAAAACAACACATTTCAGATCGCCTCTTATTTAACAAACGAACGAAATGAATGCTCTACTAGAGTTAACTGGAGATGTTATCCGTGCCGCGAGATGTTTCAATGGGGACATTTCACACCCGCAAATTATGCCTATGCTCGTGTCCGACTCCTCGCTCGGTCAGTCTGCCGTTTCCTCTTTCTCTGTTCCTCCGACAATGCTTTCGTGTATTTGTGTGTATGTGTGCAGTGCCGTAAAGGAATATGTTACATCGCGAGAGCTGATATCACGCGATACTTCCTGACACGGCCCGCCGCACCAAAGTTGCAAGTGGGATTTTTCCGCTCACAGGCACCAGGGGGGGGCGAGAAGGCCACCATTCAGCCCGAAAGAAGTCAAATAACCATTTCAATAACTCTGAAGCTGTTCAGTTAAGCTAAAAAAAACTGCATAGAATCCCTTTAATCCACAGCGCTTGAGCCGTAATGCTGATCACCACACACACACACACACACTTATGAGCACAGATCTGGGTGACAGTGAGACACTTACAGTGGAAGTCAATGGGGTTAAACTTCATCTGTGTCATTAGTACTGCTAAAGGACATCAACAATAGGTGTTAACACAAGGTTAGCACTTGCCAACCATTAGATAATAATATTCTGTGTGTGTGTCCCTGTGTGTTCGTGTGTGTGTGTCCCAGTGTGCGATGATGTGTGTGCGTGTGTCCCAGTGTGCGATGATGTGTGTGTGTTTTTATGTTATAAGCAAAAGCTTAATTTCTGGTCTTCTTTCTGACTGAAGTGTACTTGTGTCCTCTCTCTCGTGTGTGTGTGCAGTGTGCGCTGCTGTCCCAGACGCCGGTCTCCGCCCAGACCTCGGCTCTGTCCGCGGAGCTGTCTCGCCTGCAGGAGTGTGTGTCGGGCCTCGGCTCTCGGCATCAGGAGCTCCAGCAGGACCTGGCCCGGGCCGCGGGGGACGAGCTCAGCCGGAACCGCGCCGTGGCCTCTATCCGCACGGACCTGCGGCGCGTGACGGGCCTGCAGACGGAGCTGGAGGCGCTGCTCACACACACACGCGGCCTGGAGGAGGAGCTGTCCCGCACCGAGAGGCTGATGGTGAAGCGCATCGGGGACCTGCTGGCCGGCAGCATCGCCCGCGTGTCCGAGCTCAAGAGCAGCGCCGAGAGCAGCGGCCGGGCACTGGACCGCACACACACACTCCTGCAGCAGCTCTCCGACGACATCGTCAAGCTCTCGGAGCGGGTCCTGGCGCTGGAGAGCGGGCGAGCCAAGCTGCGCCGCACCCTGAGCTTCACACACGACCTGAAGCCCGCGGTCTTCACCGTCAGGCAGGACCTCGCCCTCCTCCAGCCCAAGCTAGACGACCTGACGCTGAGGATCGGCCTGCTGGCGGCAGACATGACGAGCCGAGAGCGAGAGCCGGAGCACGAGCCCACGAGGGACACACTCGACCCGACGCCCTGAACCACGAGCTCAACTCCACCAACACGCGATACCAGTCATTTCAAGTGGGAATATGACGAGACAAAGTGAGCTTTCGGTCCATTCCGGCCGATTCGCGAGTCGCACTCGCACAGTAAAAGCCAGAGGCGGGACTTATGGAGTGAGCAGCCAATCACAGCGCGGCGAATCCCACATTCACAACACTGTATTCCTGCAGGACACCGGCAGACACTCGTTACGTGTGACAGCGCCACCTACAGTCAAACCAACACTCATTCAGACACTTTTCTCACGTCATCACAGTTTATTGGCTATAGTTTAAGAAATGGTGATAAAATATGACAAGAACTTTGACTGGTTTTGTCCGTCCTTCTGTTAGACTCTCACACATGAATTATGTTGAATATCTGTCAGCTGTTAAATTTAACTACACAATTACATAATACCAGTTTAGCTCAACCAGTGACCAAGCAATGCTTCATGTTGTTCAGTCTGTGTGTAAAAAGAGCATTAGCAATTACAGAAAACACACTTCAGCAAAACATGGTCAGCTCAAAGTGGAGGAATCATATTTGCTCCCCAATTTGTATAAATGTCACTGGTAGTCTCTGTATGAAGAGTTGTTGGGTGTAATATGTCACAGTTTACTTTATTTTGCTCTCCTCACTTACATAAATGAACTATAGTGTCCTGCACACACTAGTAAACACATGATAATGACGTCAGTGTTCTGGATAGTAGTGTGTAGACTCAGACCTCAGAGACTGGAGACACAACTCCACTTGTCTCTTTATGCTGCACTTCATTGTGTTGCTTGATGTTGAAAACTAGTTATTGTTTTCATATTGTCGTAATTTATGAACATACTAATAAACACTGTTTGTCAGGTGGAGGTTTACTGTCAAGTGTTGCACAGTGTCTAAAGTTTGGGTAATATTTCACAAAGTTACTGTTTTTTTTCTGTATTTTTGATCAAATAAATGATGAGCATAAATGACAAACTAATTTTTGTTCTCTCTGTTTTTCAATAATTTTAAGCATCTGCTGTCAGGGTGATTTCCCATGCATGTATGAAGTCGGTTCTCCTCACGTTCGCACACACACACACACACATAGAAAAACCACATGTAATTCATCATAAAGTCTGTCGACCAGAAACCGTCCAAGACTGGATGTGTGGATAATTTTGCCTGTTAATGCCAACTGCATACATTTTGGCACAGGTGTGTATTTTAATTTTACTATTTCACCCCCATTTCCTTTAAAGCAACACTATGCAGTTTTTCAACCTTCATATTATATTTCCAAAACCCTTGTGATGGTACATGGACTTACAATAGGTTGAAAGACACGTCTGCCATAGCCTGACGGCGTTTGTGTCGCTTTTACTGGCACTGCGTAACTTCGGGGTTTGGGTAGTAACTTTTTTAAAAGATAAAAATCTGCTAATATTGAATGTTTATTGTGGTCAACCAGCGTTGCCTGTCTTTGTTAACATATTTCCTGGCTAACTTTCCCTTGGTTGAAGACCGTGTTGCAGTTATTTTGAAGTATTTTTGTGTTAAACTTAAACTTGTATGTTATTTAAGGGTTATCATGATGTAATGTTCACTATGGTTTCACAAGGACAGGAGACTTGCAGGAAACAGGTGATTGTCTTAAAGGTGCAAAACGCAGGTTTCTGAGTTTTTGCAGAGCTACGCCCCCTCTGGCGACAAGCGAAACTGCAACCAGAGTTGTGCACGCTCATGGACCGCACGCATGCACGAGCTGTTCGTAACTAAAGGAGCATCTGCCGCACAGATCTTTGGTGTACAGCCAAAATGTCTTCAGAGGTAATAAAGTTATAAATCTGCAAGTCATTTCAAATATATGGAAGGAATGACATTTGAGTAAATTACTCTTATGTGTTGAGGGGAAAACGGGGGTAGTAAAAAACTTTGTTTATGTGTTGTGTGTTTGTATGTGTTTACTGTATCCACCTATGGTTGTATTGTTATGAAAACACGTTCATGAACAACATAATTGATTACTTCGCAATAGTTCAAAATAATAATCATACCGTAACCGGTTGGTCAACAACGTTCACTCAAATGTCTCAAGGTAATAAACAATCAAATGTCACCATGACGTTTTCATAAAAGCCAAACAGGCTAATCCGCCGAAGACTTGCGGGGTTCAGCCTGTTTTACTGATCTGCTAAGTAGAATATTCCAATAACAATACATCCTTTTTCTGTTATAATTTACTCAAAATTTGTGTCTAATTATCGGTCATATTTTTCAGCATGTTATATCACACTCAAGAATCTTGAACTGTTTTGCTAATCACTAAACTACATGTAGCGCTGATTTATTTAGTAGATATTTTGACAGGGACAATACACACTGACAAACATTAATGTGAAATGTGTCAATACTTTATTTAGTAAATAGTTAGTCTGCTAAACAGTATGAGTAAAGTAAAAATATTTACCCCTTTACCATTGTATTTCCCTTCCTGCAATGTTCAGAATAAAACATGTATTTTATCACAATACCAAAATATTTTACGTTTTCCTCGTTTTGATGGAATACGAGCTCTGACCAATTTGATGTTACTGTGGTGAGAAGCACTGATGATAGCAGTGACAGCAGTGAAAGGGGCAGAGCACAAGGGAGACCAAGGGGGAGAGGCAGAACTACTAGTGACAGGGGCAGGGGAGGAGGACGGGGTAGGGGTAGGGGCAGGGGCAGGGGAGGGGTCAGGGGAGGAGGCCGGGGTAGGGGCAGGGGAGGAGGTAGGGGTAGGGGCAGGGGAGGAGGACGGGGTAGGGGCAGGGGAGGAGGACGGGGTAGGGGCAGGGGAGGGGGACGGGGTAGGGGCAGGGGAGGGGGCCGGGGTAGGGGTAGGGGCAGGGGAGGGGTCGGGAGGAGGCCGAGGTAGGGGCAGGGGAGGAGGCCGGGGTAGGGGTAGGGGCAGGGGAGGGGTCAGGAGGAGGCCGGGGTAGGGGCAGGGGAGGAGGACGGGGTAGGGGTAGGGGCAGGGGAGGGGTCAGGGGAGGAGGCCGGGGTAGGGGAGGAGGCCGGGGTAGGGGTAGGGGCAGGGGAGGAGGACGGGGTAGGGGTAGGGGCAGGGGAGGGGTCAGGGGAGGAGGACGGGGTAGGGGCAGGGGAGGGGTCAGGGGAGGAGGACGGGGTAGGGGCAGAGGACAATCAAGATCTAGATTAATCAGTGAAGAGGACAGACAACGTGTGGCTCAGCTGTCTGCAGCCAGGACAGCAGAATTGCAGGTTGGTCTCACTGTACACGATCCAATTACATACATCCAGCCAAAATTGTAATATCAATGAATACTTATGATTGCAGGCACAGTTACAACGACTGACAATTGAAGAGAGGGATGAAGTACTCGAGATGGTAGTCACTCGTTTACCGGGTGTCCTTTTTGACATCATGGACTATAGGCAAGCTACACCCGGACTAGCTCCACCTAACAGTGGTCCTTTGACTTGGTGCACCTGTCTCAACTGCAGATTGATGCCTAGTGACATCGAGAACAGATGTTGTAGACAGGATCCAGCTGGCTGTGTCAGCAGAAGTGCACATATGGAACTTTACATTTTGGATGAGGGCATCCTGCGGCTGGCTCGTTTACTATGGAAAAGAAAAACAACACTGAAGTGATGTAACTAAAATAATGAATGAAAATAGATATCTTGCTTATATAAAAGAATAACAAGTTTTTCACAACAGACCTGCCCTCTTTGGACCTGTGACTGCACCAGATCTGCTGTAGGAGGGGGCACAATGCCAGACAGGGGTCCCAGTAACCGAGGGTTATCTGGTCTGTAGCTTCGTTTTCTTGGGAGTCCTCCTGCAGACTGAAGTCGTAATCCTAGAATTTTCATAAGCAGGTCAGGGATGTAACTATAGACTTTTGCCTCTTTCACTGCTTGTACCCGATAGCGCTGTGACTTCTTGCTGTACAGTCTTTTTTGCCTGCAGAATAAATTATATTACATTAGTGCTCTAAACATGCATTATATTGAAAAGTCATATAGCAATCACTTACATCACTTGGCCTTTGTTGTTGACATGTACAGGCCGGTTGTTGTGGTGGTTGTAGTCCAACGCCGCAAGAAATGTCCTGGCTTCATAGGCTTCAAATGAAAAGGCAAACCGCTTGCCAGCATACATGAGTATGTGGTTTTGGAAGGATTCTAGTTGTGAAGTTGTCCTAGGAAATATAATGAAATCAAATGACAATGGGTCATGGTCAGGAATGAATATTCATATTGAACAACGTAAAAATTGGATTATAGCTGTTTAGAGTAACATACTTTTTATTCAATTATTCAGATGGCCATACCTACAAAATAAACATTCTTACCGGAAGGTGAGAAACTTCTCAATATCCTTGAGCCATCTGCGGTTGAGCACTATTTGTGACAGAGCCACATGTGCTGTAGATCCAGGGGGTATGACCTCTCTTTCATCACCCAAAGGCCCATGGAGGCATCTGCCAAGGGCCCATTCATGTACTCCACTGACATGGTGGAGTACACCTCGCCACACACCCTAAAATACACAAATGTCTTTTACATAAACACCCCAGAACCTCTGTAATGTAATAGTAGAAGCAAAATTGACATCTATTACTACAGTACTTAACAATACTATTGCATGCACTTTGAATGATCATACTCACCATAAACTCATCTCTGTTGTCTGCAAGTTGACAAGCAAACCAAAAGTGGTTTACTATATCTTTTATCCAGGCAAGTATACTTTTTTGCCCTGACATTACTGAAACAATTGAATTCTTTCAACAGGCCGAGATGATGTTTGCATGTCACTCTCAACATGAAAATCATGTCACTCACAACATGAAGTCTCTTAGTGAGATTCTTTGCAGCATGCCAGACGTCAAGGCAATGTAAAACACCCTTCTCCTTGTATCTCCCCTTTTCTGGATCTGTTATGAAACAAACATTACATTACAAAAATGCAACCATCACCATCTCAAATTCAAAAAATATTCTTACGCACGAGTGAAGCAATCTGCACATGTGCGTCAGTCACTATTTCTTTGATGTTCAACTCCCTCAAAAGGACATCAAATGTTTTGATGAAGGCATCCTTCTCCATAGACGTGCTCTTCCTACCAACATGTCTTTTATCAACAGTGACAACGCTTATGATGTCTCGGCTCTCCAGCTCAATTGTAGTGTATGTGCAAAACATGGCTGAGTGTCCTTATAGAACAATAACGAACATATGAATTTACATACAATACATACATACATACATAAAAATAAAAAATAAATCAAGTGAAAAAAACTACTACGGTCTCCTCATAGCTGAAAACAAGAAAGCCATTGTTACCATACAGAATACAATGAGTACATGTACAGGTAATAATGATTACTACATCAGAGTAATATCTAAAATAGGATTAAATCAGAGCTAAACCAGGTCTAGACCCAGTAAAGTTAGCCTCTGAAGAAAGGTATTGTTTTACATAGAGTATAATACATTGTTTCCCCCACATACCTCATATATACTACATACAAAATGTACCACATTCCCGGGAACAATTTACCATTTTTACCGAAAAAGACAATATAGCCAATGCAACGGCGTTCTCCCTTGTTGGTCAATGACATGAGAACACCTTAGCATGTTAGCAATGGACACAAGGCTAACGTTATCGGCAGGCCATGCACAAAAACATAGTTAGCATCTTTTATTGGATATGTTTTATGTTTCATGTTGTACTATTCTTCCGAACACAATTCCTAGTTTATGAAACTGTTCACTAACAATGGTAGTAAAATCAATTCTGATTGTACATGTATCTAGCTTACGCTAAAGCATTACACATTTTACGCATCGTCATTTGTTGTCATACATAGATTGGCCGTATCAAACATTAGAGACTGGGCTATATCTTACCGTTTTATCAAGAAAAAAGCCAACTGAGGATCCCGTTTGAGACCAAGAGCAGACCGGAGATCTCTCCATTTGTTGAATGCCTTCCCGAGGTTGACTCTCGTCTTACTCCGACGCATGTCTGACTCCAATTTGGCCCTTTTGGTGACACTAGACAAAATCTTTTTTTTTTTTTTTACTTTACGTGGAGTTTGCGTTGGGGTTTGGAATGGACTACAAGCCGGTCTCTTTGAATCCATCTTCTATTTTTGACGCACGAGTTGTCTTCGCTGATGCGGAGAATGGCGGCGCCGGCGAATACACAAACCTGCGAGACATAGCCTGGTGAGCGTGAACGCGCATGACGTCACGCCCAGTCTCAAATTCGAGCCCGAATCCCTCTTATATATTTTACTGTACAGGATTATAGAGGCAATCTCAGTGAGCAGAGAAGGGCTCAATCAGCCCATCAGGCAGTTCTTTAAGCATGTATAGGATAGAAAAACAGGTATTTTTAACATGAAAAGTTGCGCAATGGACCTTTAAAAAGCCATTCCAAACAAGTAAAATGTAAAATTGCATTAATCTTAATGTTTACAATGCTTATGCACCCTATGCACTAGGGGTGGAACGGTACATGTATTCGTATCGAACCGAAACGGTACGGGCGTCACGGTTCGGTGCACGAATTTACACGGAAAATACACGGTATAAAAATAAATAAAACTCGCGTGCAAATTAATTAATGTAATGCGGAACTACTGTTAGATACGCGGGTTCTTTAGGGACACATAATCTGTAGCATCGGCTTAGCTCTGACCGCGCGTTCACTTCAAACGTTGGCTTTATACGCGCGTCCTATTCGCTTTGGACTAGCGTCGGACTAGACGCGAATTTGACGCTCTGTTCGCGTTTGGTGTGACCGTGACCGCATAATGAACAGGCTGCGATGTCAAGATTGCAATGCTGGAGTGTGTGTGTGTGAGAAAGAGAGAGAGAGAGAGAGAGAGAGAGAGAGAGAGAGAGAGAGAGAGAGAGAGAGAGAGAGAGAGAGAGAGAGGGGCGCGCGGGCGTGATCGAACTGTGTGTGTGTGTGTGTGTGTGTGTGTGTGTGTGTGTGTGTGTGTGTGTGTGTGTGTGTGTGTGTGTGTGTGTGTGAGAGTGTGAGAGAGAGAGGCGCGAGATCGAACAGTGGAAACATAAAAAACATAGGCCTACTCCGTCATTTTGTTCATACAGATCATTAAACCTGCAAAGTGTTTACTTATATTTGTGTACACTCGCAATAAAACACAACATTGTGCTTTTGTCACACTGTAAACTCTTGTCAAACTGTAACCTACAACTGTCACCCAACCAAAATCACAGATTTAAATTCTTTATTTGAATTAAAAGATAAGCATATATCATGGCATAATTCAAATTTGACAAAAAAAAGTGTGCAACAGCAGCCAATATCTCAGTCCATTATGCACATTAAGGGTAAAGGTGGCACCTACGCCTCCATATGTAGAGGCTACCATATGTAGAGGCTTTAATTAATAAACTAATTATATAAAACTATTGTCAGTGCATAAACTGGTTCTATGCCTTTATTAATAAAACTTATTTTAAAAATACAATGCCTTCTGCATTTTTGTTTTGCTTTTCCCTCCATTGTACCAAAATCGTACCGAACCGTGATGTCTGAACCGAGGTATGAACTGAACCGTGACTTCTGTGTACCGTTCCACCCCTACTATGCACGTATTACTATATAAATTAATACATATTTAATTTTAAAACAAAACATGATTATATACACACACACACACATTATTTCCTAAGTGTCCAAGTGCATTATTTACTTAACATAATTTGATAAATTCATTACATACATCACTTTAATCTATAACACCTATTTAGTTCAAATTCATTTTTAGTACATTTAGATAATACATATTTTATGTTTTGTTATCTTAAACCCCCCAAAATGTCAGGTTGTGCAACTGTCCGCACAAATACTAATTTAAATGGTGTTTTAAGAATAAAAAATGAAATTCTATGGCATCATTTTAACCTTTCATATAAACAAATTTTATACATTTCAGTAGATTTATAGCTGTTGAGAGAATTGAAAACCTTTGGTCTAGCAATCTGCATGTCAGGGTGGCACAACTGCAAACATGGCTCTCTTACTATGGTAATTACAGTATGCATGATAATGCATCGTCTAGAGGAGCCTTAATGATCCTTGTAGAGCTTTGTCAAATACCGGTGAAAACTGCTCTCAAGTTGGTACACTTTCCATGGCCGGTGAATTTAAACACTTAGAAATGTTCACAACTGAAACTTGTTTAAATACATTGAATTAATTACATACAACATTTATTTGGTAATTTGTCAATGACCTATCCATGTATAGCCTGGGAGCCTGGATCACAGCCCGAACCCCGCCAACACCATTTTTTGATCGGGAAGTTCGGTCTGGACTCGATCCCTTGAGGAGTAATTATGATCGGTTCAGAATTAGTCGGGCCAATCAAATTGCCAGGGCGGGCTTTATACGATGATGGACAGATGATCTGCAGTTGCGTAATCATCACGTTATCAAAGAGCGCTTGGGTTGAACTGGTTTCCCTCAGAGATGACTGCAGCTGGAGAACTGAGATGTATTTTTTTTCCTGGTTCGTTTTGACATGCCCTGACATTTGTGCTTTTTTCAGTTGCTTATAAACATATTAATGGCAAAGGTGAAATTACACTCTAGCACAAACAGGGCTACCATAATATGTGAGCAACATGTATGTACATGTTTGTATTTTTAAGAGAATATTGTTTATGCATGGTTATTGAAAAAACTAAAAATTAAAGTTTCTGAAATAAGGCCACAAAACACATATAGATTATTTCTTCACAAGACTTTTGAAAATTGTATCACATAGTCTAGAATATTTGCTCCAAAACTATGTGAGAATCATCCTGACTACTCATTCAGATAAGTCAATAAAGTATTTTACATTTTTAATGACGTGTTTTGTGTCAGAAAGCTTTATGCGAAGGGGCATGATCTCTCAATAATATGTATAGCATTTCACACCTGAGAAAGACAAAGACCCTCCCATAATGGCCCTATTAGGTGTGCTATCAGGCCATATCATTACAAGGAGCCTTGCACAAAGAATGAGGAGATTTAAAAAAGAACGGCTTTTAGATTGTTTGGATTTATTTACAACACAACATAATCCAAAGATACACAACAAAGGACAAAAAAGCACATTAGTAAACACACTGATCTAAAGACAGAGGCTTGAACAGTCACACAACTTTGTCCCATTCCTGAAACATAGTACATACATGTCATTTCCACGGTGTTTGATTTTTCATTTTACCATGTTCATGTACAGAGACTGTTGAATGTTGAAGTCAGCAGGACTCATCAGTGGCATCTCTCCCTGTAAAAAAAAATAATTAAATAATAAACACCTTTGAACTTGCTGATATCAAGAAAAACTATATGGCTGCACGACTTTGGGCATGCATTGTAGATTTTTCTGGTTAAAATTGCGATCTAATTAAATATATATCCACACACACACACACAGTGCGTAGAGAATAAGTGAACACACCCATGCTAAAGTTGACTACCCTTCACAATATAGACATGGTTTTATTTCAGTTAGCCTAACTGAACATTTATACATAAATAATATATTGTATTTAGACAGTATCACATATTTTACCGGAGGCTGAAATATATTTCACTAAATCATTATATAACCTAAGCAGTTATTCGCAAACAAAATAAATTACGCATAAGGCAGTATTTTAGCATGATAATCAGTGTCATAAACTAATCTCAAAACTGAGTGAAATATATGTAGTA